GGATCATGCCTACTGCCTTAACATTTCCTCTCTTGTTAAATGGCGTCGCTGCATACAGTAGCACAATTTCAAATTAAATAGCTAACTTGTTTTAAAACTTTCGATTAACACAAAAAAATCTTCAAAGACTATGGTAGGTAAAATGAAAGCTTCGAAATTCGCTTGAATTATGCCGCGCAAATCTTTTGGTTGAAATTATTTTTTTAATTCAAATTTGAAATCATCAAAAAAGGCGTATAAAATAAGTTTTCATCAAAAGATTTTAAAACCGGCCAGTATTATCCTAGACGATGTTGATGTGTGTATAAAGGAGTCAGACAACGCACAACCTAAACCGCTGGTCACAAAGTTGTACTAAGAAAGTTTTTTTGAAATTTCACCCCGAAAGGGGTTAAAAAGGGTGAAAACGTTTGTAAGAAAATTCTTTGTTTTTGGACCTATATCGATGAAAGTTGATATTTGTGTCGTTTGAGACCTTGGGAAGGTAAGATATTATACCGAAAAAAGTTATATATAACCATATATCCCATATTATACATGCGAAAGTAAGTTTGTGTACCTAAATGACTTATGCGCTCTCGCCTAAACTACTAAACCGAGTTGACTTGAGATATGACTTGGTTACTATTTATTGTGATAAAAGAGATATTCAGGTGTTTTGCACGATTTAGTGAATAAATATTTTTTAAGCGTTTTTTTAAATGCTGCCCTTAGCCATTATACCACGTGGACGAAGTCGCGGACAAAAGCTAGTACCTAATAACCAATTACAATACTTACATACATTGATTTATATTATTCACCTCTTTTGCTAATTGTTTCTTTTTTAAAACAATTTCAGCATCTTGCTTATCGAACTTGTTCTTAAACAGTTTTAATTTCTCTAGCTCTTCCTGTTCATGTTTTTTAGCTTCTTGCTTTATTTTTTTTTGAAACTGTAATTGTAAATTTCTTTCCTCCAAAGTTTTAGATTCAAGGAGCGCACTGTGAAGGAGATTACCTCTTACAAATAATAAAGTTAGAAACTTTAACTTTTTACAATTTAGAGTATAGATATAATGAGGTTATATTAAAATGTTATATAGGTCAGTACAATAATAATGTATATTTCATTTTTATAATTTATTTTGTGATATGAAATGGTCCTATAATAGTCTATCTTGTTTTACCTCACAAGTTGTTTTCCGTAGCAACTGTCTTCAAAAATAATCTGTTTCGACTTTTTTAACATTTGCGATTTTGAATTTTCTTCTCTCTTTTTCATTGAAAGTATTTTATGATAAGATATGCTTTGTCTACGTTTCTTTTCATTTTCTTTAGTTTTTCTGAGTATATGTCCCTAGCGGAAATATCGTTTAAATAAAAATTCAAATAATGAATATAAATTTAACTGCAATAAGATGAGATAAGATTTAAACTTTAGTCCATGATTAAAGTTTAAATGTTACTGTGATCCTATTTCTAAATCAGCTGTGTAAAATTGACATATTGTGGTAACAGATATGCTACTGTGTATACAATGGTTATTAGAAGCTTAAGTGAGTAATGACAACAGATCAGAAATGATATTACTTAGTGAGTATGAATATATATGGACGAACTTAACAGGATTTACTGAATGACAAGTTTTATTTCTTAAATATAACCATAAAATGGGCGTGTGCTTATTCTTATACAGTAGCAATAGAAAATACCCAGATGATTTGAGATTCTTAGATCTTATAAATATAATAAAAAAACCTTCCATACATTGATATTTTTTTTTTTGCAGGTTTCCGCTGCATTCTTACACTCTTTACTTTGTCTATTTACAGCAATTTGACTATGAATAAATACCTGCACACTATCCGGCCATGCTCTTATCCATTTTTGCGACTTCTCTACCAAATTTCTGAAATATTCATCTCGTTGAACCTCTCTATCTTCTTGTAATCGATTTGTCCGATTTAATCTTTCCCATTCGTTTTTATGCATCAAAAGATATCTTTTCCTATCCGTCATTTAGATAGTTTCATAAAGAACGTACTTGACACCGTCTTTATGTATATAGGATCTAGATTGGAAGTCGTATAGATTTTTATTACATTTATATTTAGCCTATTTCAAAAAAGGAATTCGAATCGAGAATCACCTGTTCTCAATTCGACTGAATGTCTTTTAATTTTATCATAATAGAGTTCAAAATGTCACTAAATTTATTTGTTACAATTAAATGTTATTTAGGCAGGACAGGAATAGTGCAATTAGATTGTGCAAGCGAGTCGTCACAGCGTGAGATTGCAAATTCTGCGCGTCGACTATAGTAGCTATATTTTGTTCGATGCTATAATCTTAATTATTTATGCTTAGCAAATTACTTTTCAGTCCTGAACAATACAAAATAAAACTTTTAGAAAGTATTCATAAATATTAATATGTATGCTAAGCCCGATATGTTCCCGTGTGTAGGCAGCGATAAAAAGTTTATAAATTTCCAGATAAATTAAAACGTTTTGTGGAAAATTTTAATGTAGTACTTCGAGTTTTGAGAACGTTACTGGAGATTATTTTTTTATACTGACCCAAGTATAAAAATATCTGATAATGTAAAAAACGACCATTGCATACGGCTATTTGTCAATGTCGCACCGTGGCTTTGTTCACTGTATGTTTTTGCATATTAGGTACAACTAAGCGACGGGAAAGTACATGGAACATATAAAACCTTTGAAGTATATTTTGTAGGTAACGAAGGAGGGTTGAAGTTGAAGTATTATATATGTGTATTATTTTATTACACTTCAATACTAAAATTAAAAACACCAAAGGACTATTACAATATATATGAAGCCTGATCTAGGAATCAAGTTAAGAGTTTTAAGAATATCACACGAAATACGTGTAGCATTTCTGATCCACGTTCCAAGCGAGTGTGATTTATTGTCCCTTATTTTTGTATTTAATATTTTTTGCGTACTTATATGGATCCTTTATTCCATCATGACTCGTGCCACGTATGTTTGATACAACTTTACAGGTATTTGTAACGTCTTACAAAGCACTAAATTCTATGTGCGAATATTATGGAATGTGAAATATACCTACTTCTTATGTGTTTAGTAGTCTGTGATTTTTGATGAAGTTGTTTTTATTATTCATTGATTATTTTTTAAGAACTGATTGTTGTATACTTTTATTAACGTTTTCATTATTTTAAAAAATACCTATAATTTACACAGCAACTTTAAAAAAAACCATTTTCTTTCTTTAAGAAATAGTTCAATTATAACATTTATAAGATAATTTCTTTAATTATATGGGTAACAAATTAAAGATCTCGACATTCCAACAATATATAATTCACTAAAACATTGATTGCTACAATGGAACTAAAAATAAAATGAAATAAGTTGTATTATGGCTAGACTAAACTAAATTCTCATTCCAGTGGGCGACAGAATTTAGTTTAGTCAAGCCATAATACAATTTGTTTTATTTAGTTCCATTTTAGCAGGTGTATTTTTAATTTTTATTGCTATTTGACATTGATTTATTATTTTATATTGAGTTTATAACAAAAAAATTTAGTTAAATTATTGTGATCTTGAATTGAAAAATAACGAAAATTGAATAAATTCACGTTTCCAGACAATTTTCCGCAAACAACGCAAAAAGTAAATATAAATAGTTCCTGAAAATTTTATAGGTTTATTCGAACTATAATTTTATATATAAATGAAAAGCCTTTTCATATAAAATGTCGTCAAATAGTTCTTCTCATTCTACATGCCTTAACTCTACAAGCTTAGTAGGTAACTTTACAAAGTCTATAAATTATTCAAAATATATTATTTTCACTAAATATGTTCTGAAACTACTGGACCGATTTCAAAATTCTGTCACTTAATGGGTAGATAACATTAACGCGGGTGGCATGGGCTATAAATTACGCGGACGAAGTCGCGGGAAAACAGCTTGTTTTGGTATAAAAACAACACAGCTGATCCGATTTAGATTACAATTAGATACTCATTTGTGAACATCCTATATGAAATATTTTTGAAGTCAGTAAAAATCTTCTCGTTTTAAGATTACTCGCTTGAGACCAAATCCTTTAATCGTCCACTTGACGCGACAAGAACATATGGCTCAACTCTACTGTCTCATGCACTTGACTTCAGGTAGCCTATGAACCATCCCGGGAATCACGTAAATAAAAAAATTATATTAGAATGTAAATTTAAAAACTTGATTCCATTGTTTCAGAAATAATGAAAAATTCACTTGTGTACAATTGACATTATACGGTCACAAAAGGGGTAGGATGCAATGCTATATCAATCACTACATAGTATAAAACAAAGTCGTTTTCTCTGTCCCTATATCCCTATGTATGCTTCAATCTTCAAAACTACGCAACGGATTTTTTCATAGATAAGGTGATTCAAAATGAAGGTATTTATGTACGACTATAATACAAGACCACGCGGGGAAGCCGCTGGCGGAAAGCTAGTTAAGTATAAAAAGGTAACAATATTTGTCTTGCAATCCTAGTTAACAGTACGTCCGCTTTTTAAAATAGGATAAGTTTCTTTCAAAATTGGTATTAGAACGTCTATATATGTTAGCTCTCATAAAAAAATATCGTTGTATCTTTTTCACCCCAGGTAAGCTTGAAATATAGATTTTTCAATTAGGGGAAGCTTCTTTTAAAAGTGTTTGATTAATTACATTACAAACTACCTAAGTAAGAAGTTGATTAGAAGGTAGTATTTTTTTTTGTCATTACATATTACATTTATTTTTGTATGTATCATATAATATATCCATAAATGTGCCATCTGTGCCCCTTTTAAATTAAAAGTAATTTTCTTATGCAGAATTAATTAATGACTAACGAGCTCAATAGGATTCATCAGGCGGAAGTGACAGAGCGAGATGGTCTTATACACAATAATTCTTAAAGGAAGGAGACGGTTAACATAGAAGCTGCAGTTGAATGAATTTATGCCGGTCTATTTAGTAGCGCGTCAATTTGGTGTGAGCGTGGTAGTGAGTGAGGTTGTTTTCAGTGGTCGTATAAAAAAGCGCGCGAAATAAATCGTAATGCATTACAAGCTTAAACATTTTGTTAATTGTTAAAAATAATGTTTCAGTGATGGTGGATGATTTAAAAATTAGTGCTGTGAAATCGTTTCAGTTATAATTTATTAATATTACATATTATATGATGAAAAGATGAAATATGAAGGGAAATTAGTTACGTACCATAAACAAAGATAAGAGGTATCGGGAGCATAATTTTTTGGAGTGATTCATAAGAGGCAGGGACAAAAATAACTGCTGTATCAAAAATAAAGTGTTGCTCTAGCATTTTTAATGTCCTGCATTTAGCGTAAGTTTGTTCATTTTCATGTTTTTGACGAATTTATATAATGATGATGTATATAATTATTAGTAAGTTGCACAAACGTACATTAGATTTTAAGCTCTAATGAACGTCAAATTTGTATGGATAATGTCGCTTTAAACATTTATTGTAATGGACGTTTGTGCAACCGGCTGTATATCTAATGGATTTTTAACTTATATTCATTTTAAATTACTATTGGAGTGTTGAGTATATTTCAATATTACCTTTTACTGTTATAAGTTGTTATTACAATGATTAAAAAATATAATTCACCAATTTGCAGGGTATCTGTAACAAAAACCATATGTAATGATTGTAAAATCGTTAACACTTTAAAGACAGTCAGCTTTCGTAAAGCGCATATCGGGTAAAATACTTTTAAATTTTCATATTTAAGTGAGAATTTATAACTTTTTTTTGTCATTTACAATAATTACATATGGTTCTTGTTTTAGAGAACATTATTTAAATTATTAACTCAATTTATGATATCAAAATTTTTTTACTCATTCTACGAAGGTAATTAAAATGTAATCATATAAAATATATTAATTATATTTGAATAGTTCAACTATTTGTATGTTTGTGCGATTTGCCACGCGACTTTCATAATGTACAGTCGTTGTACACAAATTATATTGTGTTTAATATTATTAGTTAGATTATAATAATTAATATAGGTTGTACGAAAAGCTTTCAATGAATTTCCGTAGAATTAAGTGATATCAATATTTTAGAATGCGAAAGAATCGTTTCCTTTTTTATTATTGTTATCGTAAGAAGACACATAAAATATTTATTTCTGGTATAAGTATTTTATCAAAGTAAGAACTTAAGTTTTATACTCCACTTTGAAGCCATTAGAAAGTTATTTACGGGGAAACTTCCCCAGCTCTCTCGTTGCAAGTTTAAGTATTTATCGTTAGTATTTTCAAGTTCGATACTAAAACCTAGTCAATCTATACGTTGATGTTTTTGCTACTGTTTTTTTTAAAGAATCGACAGTTAGATGCTATGTATGTTAAAATTATGCTTAGAATCGAAGAACTTTTATTTTCAGTGAAAATTCCTTCGTCAAAATTCTAATCGCACGGATATTTGTTAGGGTCCACACGAGTGCCATATTTTACCTATTTAACATATACTGGCAGTATATGTTAAATATGTTGCTTCATCTCTTGCGGAGCCAGTGGCAAATTTACAAATTTGCCGCTAGTAGGCTATTCAATTGTTGACGTCCCTGTTGACCTCTAAAATTCGATACGCTAGTTTAGGTCACAATTATGTTCCCTAATGAGAGTAGGGTAGGTTTAAACGCCAATGAAAAACAACTCCTGAGGGAATTTCTCACGAGACAGTCTTGAAATACTTTACCATAGAGTAAACAGTCTTATGCACGCGAACTTTCTGACGCCAGTGAGTGACCGACCAAGTACCGATACAAATACTTAGGTACTTCACGATACTACTCATTACTCGGTTCTAAAGTATCGATTCCAAAAGTACTTGGTAATCGTAGATTGCTCGTAGGTCGTGCTGTCAATTTGGCCAGACACTCTCAGCAAATGTCATTCATTCCGGAACCGCAACCCAAAAACCACTACGCAAATACATACCAAATAGAATATAAATATTTAAATGTTGACACACATACACCATCTATACAAAATATGTTTTATTTAGTTAGTTTAAAATATATTTTGTTTAGTTTAAAGTAGTACCTATTTAATTAAAAAAAAAGGATAAAAGTTACTTAATTCAAATCAAAATATTGAAACGGCATTGGAATAATTAAAAAATTATGATAAGTACCTATTAGTACGGGGCGTTTACTAAAATATTAAACTTTTTGTCACTCGTTTCTTTGTGTATTTTTTCTGTAAGACAAAAAAATTTTGGCCCAAATCTGCAGCATTAGACTCTGGCCTACTCAGCCTGCTAGTAAATGTTCCTAATCATATATGAAGATATACGATTGTATTTATATTTATATTTGGTACATACTTGCAACAGCAAAAATAAAATAATTTTAATTCAATAAAAAAAAAAATTCTTCCTAGTAGTATAAAGTGTGCTGATCTGATTACAAAATGTATACTTCGAACCAAATTTCAATTAGTTACTTAAGTTACGTTTTATTATATTTTCTTTACATAATATAAAACAAAGGCACTGTCTGTATGTTGAGATCTTTTAAACTACACAACGGATTTTAATGCGGTTTATCAATATGTAGAGGAATTAAGGGATAATACAGGACAACGAGGGCGAAGCTATAGTAATTAAATACCGTATAATTTTAATATTTTATTTAAGTTTAACATTTGTTGCATATATTGTTTGATTATCTTTCGTATGTTAGTAAGGTTATATAATCTGTGGTGACAAAAAAGTTTGTTACGTAAAGATTAACGACAAAAAATCTTAAAAATAATGTAACATATAAGACGAATTACGAGTAAAACGAATTTTTAATAATCTTCTAGTCATTAAAATATTATTCGCGAAGTAAATAAAACATTTCAAGAAAAACTGATGATAAACCTAATTATTAATTATACTAGATATATACCGATATCAACGGCATTCTATTCTAAATTGGGAATCACAACTTTAGGCAGACTTAGGAGTAATATTGTCCTGAAAGTAACTGTTTTGCGAGAAAATTGTTTTCACTAACTTTTATGAAAAAAGTTGTACACAACTGAGAATATAATAAAATTCACAATAAATCAAAGGAAATGGAAAACATAAGTTTTATAAGCGTGTATGTATGTACGCGATAATAATGATGAATTTTCTTCTTCTTCTTTAGCCTGTGTCTACTGCATCAGAATAGGCCTCCTTCACCATTTTCCATTTATCTCGGTATTGAGCTCTTTCGGACCATTTGGAACCTGCAAACCACTTAATGTCGTGTTTCCAACGCATTTGTGGTCTGGTCTACTTTGCGGGCGCTTGTTTCCCCAGGGCCTCCACTCGAGGAGCCTCTTGCACCAGGAGTTTCTGTTACGGGCTACATGTCCTGCCCACTTCTACTTAAGGTGCGCCACACGCGATATAACATCTGCGACTTTGCTTTGCTCTCGCAGCCATTTATTTGTTTTGCGGTCCAATAGTGTCACTCAGCTTTCTCTCTATTACCCTCTGAACCAGTTCCAATCTATTGATGGTGTCTTCGGTGAAGACCCTTGACCCTTGAGTTTCGGCGCCATGAGTAAGTACTGGTAAGATGCACTGGTTCCAAAGTCGAGTTTCAACTGCCCTAAGTATACATACCTCTGCACTTGTTCTATAATAGTTTGGTAGATGGTTATGGTAATGGTGTTACTACTTTAATTTGTCATTATCTTGGTTTTATCCAAGTTCATTTCCAAATCAACTTGTAGAGAGGCGTCACTCGGCTCCTGGATCATAATTTGTAAATCTTCTACGTTATCTGTGAGAAGAACTATATCATCCGCAAACCTTAGGTTACTCAATTTAGTTCCTGCTATATTTAGACCACGTTGATCCCATGAAAGTTTCTTAGAGGTATGCATACTACCCGCTTGCGCAAGGCGTGTTGATAGGTAAGAAGTAATCAATCTTGCTCGGACTAAGGGCGTTACAGATGATCCTTAGATAAGATTCCTCCGGTACCAACCCTAAAGTATCACTCCTTCTCTGAGCGTACCTAAGTCACTAAGCCGTTAGACATCCTAGGGACCCCTCCTGGCTATCTGTTCGTTGACTTAACGGGGTTCACCACGTGAAGGCAAGAGTGAAGTTGAAGTGCATGCTAGAGAATTTCTCTTACAATGAATATTTATTTAATTAAGAAATGTAGAGTTGATCTTTTCTAATTTATTTTCTACTAGCTTTTCACCAGCGGTTACATTCGCATAGTTCTGTATCTACTGTATATTGATGAAAACCGTATTATATCCTGTTGTGTAGTTTAATAGATATTAGCATACAGACAGCGGTAAGCGACTATATTTTAAACTATGTATAGAAGAGACATTGATTATTTTGTGTTTTTACAGAAACAGAAAATTATTTGTTAAGATTTTTCAAGATGTTGTAACTACAGTTTTTTAAAATAAATCAACGGCGGAATCACACAGTATCATGGCGTTGGCTGGAAGGTGCCGAATATGGAGAGGCTGTTTTTGGTGCAAAACCAGCTTGTTTCTGACTGCATTTATGTTAACCTACGTGAATACTCAAGGTAATTATTTAATATTATAAAAATAATAATAAAAAAAACTATTCAATTCCCTGACACGATGTTATCATATTTTAAATAGGGCTCACTGTTGCAATTGTACGTCAATTTCAAATAGCCGCTTAAAAAAATGTATCGATCGAGGAAAAATGAACTATTTTAAAGCATTACGTTTGTTCGCAATATGTGCTGTCACAGTTCTTTAACATTTATTTTTTAGCATATTATTGTTACTTTAGAAATTTACGCAAAATAATCAGATAATCCGACTGCTGTGTTGTTTTCTTTTCCGCTTCATAAAAATAGAAAGAAAAGTACAAAATAAAATCCTTTAGGAAAAATTTATACACTCAACTGATTGGTTTTCCAAATTTTCTAAACAATTTTTCTGATTTTTTTAATCAGCATTTATAACCCCCCTCCCCTTTGGTGAAACATGGTGAAGTTTAAGACCACCCCCGTGTATAAATCACGTGTATTTTTTGCAGGACCTATAAAAATATTAATATTTGACGCCGCTTTTCGGTTTAGTAATCGCGCGTTTGAGGAAATAGTAAATACACGTGATATATTACTACACTCCCCTCCCCCTTGTGATATTCCGTGATTTGACGATCCCCCCGTTCGAGCCTCACGTGATTAATTGACGGCCTCTTAGCTTAAATCATGTGAAAGTTCATGTAAGATCACAATTGCGCAATATCGCCATTAATAGCGTTGCAAAACGTAAGGCAAGTGTTATGTTAGATATACGCAAATCCCTAAACTAATATTACACTTCGATCGAAATATTGAACGTTTTCTGTAAGCGGTAGCAGCGTGTGTTCTAGAATTCGATCGACAAATATCCTTATCTGAGTGCTCTCCGAGAAAATTATTTATACCGCCACTTTACAGCTATGTTTTGCATATCTAATACTGCGTGGTACCTAGATACTAGACATTAGCTAAATGGTTTATAAACTATAAGAGAATATTACGTTACCATCCGGTTTCGGTATAAAGTATGATAATAATCTTCAGACGGCTTTCATTCAACTTTCAATAAGTATTTCCTATAATTTTGTCTCGTTGTGAGGCTCCAGGGCCTTAGTCTAAGTCTGCTAAGTAATTACACTATTCAGCTTTTTTTAAATTTCAATATTTCTAAAGTAAATATGCAAATGCGTTGGAAACTGTGTAGCTATGAAATTAGCCCTTTTAGATTAACTCCTTGAATAACAGACACTATTGTCTTTCAGTAAAGAATATATTGGTAGATAAAATGTTTTCTATGATAAAGTTTAATTGTTACAACACAACACAAACTTTAATTAAAAACTCCATGATGAAATAATTTTCATGTGTTATATGACACTGAGAGTAATATCTAGTACAATAAGTGTTTAATATTCGGTATAGTTTTTAAAATCCCAATCTACTCTAGGTATTTGGTAAATGGTTCTAAAGACAACTAGTCACCCGAACTCAAAAGAATACCCATAGAAATTCTCAATAACTTCTCAGGCTAGAAATCAAATCCAAGACTATCTATTTATTTTTTCTATAAAGATAACCCCGTAGTTTTAATGTGTAAACTTATAAAGGCTACCTTTCTTTTCATCCTCGCTTAGTCCTTCTTTTTAAGTTAAATGTAACTCATATTAAAATATCACCAAAAAATAAAAATCACGACTAAGTACTTAATAAAGGAATTATAAATATATAAGTGCTTATGAATTATTCAGATTTATTTAATAACTTTGAAAACGGCTTATTGCTATAAAGACTAATTCGTGGCAATAAAGATGTTGACAAGTGAAGTAAAATAGATCGTTAGAGTAGAACAGATCAAAGCAGCACGTTATATGATGAGGCCATCTGTAACTGTCACAAGCATTTTATTGTGGTTTGGCAGCAGCTGTTGTGCCCTGTCGCCTCTACCGGCGACGACATTCGTTAATAAACAAATATTTTTGTTGTTTATTGAGTAATGCTTCATTTCAGATATATCGATGTGCTGTACAAAAGCGGACGGAACCTGCCGCAGTGTATGTGAAAAGGTAAGTTTATTGAAGTATAATACATATAACTTATTTTGGAAAACCTAATACTTAGTACAGAGTACTACTCTCAGTAAATAGTGATACTGCTAATGAATCTGGTGTAAACTTGAATGCCCATTCAATATTGAGATTTCAAAAATTGTTCCGTTTTGTACCTATATGCATTGTATAGTTTGTATTTAATTGTTATTTAGATGGAAATATTGGTTATAACAGAGATGAAATCATTATGTAAAAATGTATTATTGTAATAATGCGCGTAAGGAATCGATGGAGCGATATTCTAAATATCATGCAAGACTCGCCTATAGAATCTTAATCTTCTTCAAGAATTTCCAATCAAACTGCTCAGTGGAAAGCTAAATTGACTAATTAAGCAGATTTATCGTTTCCCTAAAGTTTTCGGACGAGAATATTTTTAACTTGCCCGTCGCAATGGGGTCATCGTCTGCTTTTTAACGACAATATGAAATCTTAAAAAGTTTCTTTGATTTTCTTTCATGGAAATATCAATATTCTTTGATCTAATTCGAAACAACGGTAGACTAATCTCTTATATCAATGAAGTTCATGGTACGCTTTCCTGTGTTATTAAAATGTTAAGCGATTGGAAGTTCGGTCCGTCGTCGGCGGTTCTAATCAAGAATCGCGTCACAGTGCTTGCTGCGTGTCGTGTTCTGGGAAGGCGCGTTGACTGAATAAAAGTAAAATCATGAACATGTAAGAGGAGAGCGGCTGGTACTAATACACTCGTATTTAATTCTGTCTCGTTAGGGGACGTGACGGCCGCTTCCTCCCCGCTACGTCGTTTGAATAAGTTACGCCTTTACTAAATCGATGCTTTCTTTTATATCCTAGTATCTATTATTATAAATATCAGTTTAACTTCATTCAGATTCTATTTTATTTTATATACATATTTATTTTTCATTGATAAAAACTTTCTTCTGAAAAACTTTATAAATTATACCTAATGAGAACTTCGTCATTAAATAAGTATCAACGATTCATCGTGTTCGTTTATTCAAATAATAATGTCCATGTCGAATCGCAGAGGACGAGGCAATCTAATTTAAGTGGTTGCTTGTTAAAGCCACCATTATAAGCGTTTAACCCTCTTACAGTCTCTTTAAGAGTGATTAAGGCAAAGACAATGCTTCTATGAATAGAAAAATGATTAAAGGACATGCATATTGACGTGTAATTAGAATGATGGGTGGCATACTGTTTACCGTTCTGTAATTTGCTTTTGTCGTCTGGATGACAGGGTGGTGTCTAACGATATAATGAGTATGCTGTGTCATATTGTAATTTGTGGGACATTGTCGGGGCATTGACACTATCTCTATGTCCGGTAATTTGAGGATTTTCCTGAAATGTGGAAATACTATAATATGAACGATAAAATCTTATTTCTTTATAGGTGGTAATTTTTGTTATTGACTATTCGGTGGTAAGCGCATCATTTAAGACTTTAAGTGATACCATTAATTTAATTTTTGTAGTTAAAAAAACTATTATTATTATAGTAAGCATATATACTATAATACTTTGAATGGGTGATATGCGTACTTAAAAATGCAAACTGACCTTGGTCATACGTTGCATTTGTGTCATCGTAGCCTGGGGCCTATGGTTTAAGATTATTACACCATCGGGAAAACTAAGGCTTCCACCTCAGTGGATCTTATGAGATTAAGGAATCTTTGTCTTCTATAGGTACTTAACGAAAAACAAAAACGCTGCTTTTCAGCAGATTTAGAGAATAGCTTTTGTAAGTGATAGCTCGTCATACTATTATTATGAAAACTACGTACATTAAGTTTAAGATATACAATTTTATTGGTGGTGGAGATATACCAAGATTTCACGCAATGCCGTCTAACCTTGTGTTTTATTTTGCTCTACTCCTTTGGGGTAAGAGCTATTATAGAACCAATGTGTATATTTATTTGTTCTTTGTCTTACTCCTTCATCATCTACAGCTTATTATAATGTATCCACTGCTGAGGCATAGGCGTTCCGTATAGATGGAGTCCAATAGGGAGGAAGGGCCTTAACCAACCACGCGAGCTCAGTGTGGATTGGTGAGTGATAACGACTGCAGATGCAGCCAGAATTATCAGCTTAACGTGCCTGCCGAACCACGGGGTAGCTGGAGAAAATGATTTTCGATCACCTATCCTCTAACAGGCCCTTGCGAAAGTTGCTTAACTTCTTTATATATTCCTAAATATTAAACTTAGCATTAATCTATAAAATAACATTATAGGTATTACACACAGAACATAGAGAGGTATTACATTCTGCTTTTTGTTCAGTCAACTTTCAGTCTATGGCTTTGAATAACTTTCAGTTGGACACAGGCAATGTACAATATGTAGAGCACCATTTGAACATTGATGGGTCGTAGATAACAAACGTCCTAGTCATGGTAAAGGGCTGGCTGATGATATGTCAGATTTTAATGAGTTTTGGACTGAACCTCATATATAACAAAATAAAGAACTTATTAGCGTTATTAGGTTAGTGTTGTTATGTATTCAGACAGAATATACATAGTAGTACAATGAAGAATCTAAAAACTGAACCTATTAATTCTTCTTATGACTACTTCCTTTCAAGTGGAATTTAAGGTAGTACTATAATCCAAAATCTGTAAAAATACCTATGTTAGTACCGCATAAGTATTTCAGTTTATTTATGAAAACATTAATCATTTATGAAATCTTGGCCGTATTTTTAAGGAAAAATAATTAGTTATACTCTTATAAACTTAGGTATCAGTTTTTCATTAGTAAAAATAAATAGTTTATATGTTTACTCCTCTTACCATATACATACTTACGTTATTTCTAATTCCGTAAGCATTATTTGCGAATCTTCCATTATTTCTTTCGCTCGATCGACCTTTTTATTTGATAATGCAGGGGAAATGCACATTAAGCCTTAAACCACGCTCTCCGACTCCGCTTAAGTGGAGTCGGACTGCCTGGTTAAAACCTGCTGCGAGTATCCAGCAACACCCTCCTGGGAGGATCCAGCAAGGAGTTAGCCGGGTCCAGCCCCACACGTTCGATCGACCTAGGAAATACCTGGGTGGCACATGGGTGACATAGTCTACATATAATTTACGCGGGTGAAGTCGTGGGAAAAAAATGTTAATAAAAGAAATAAACTATATGTAAGACACACGGTCAGCCCTAATGGAGCACGTGTTAACACGTTCGTAGTAGATACTCGACGCATAAACATCTGTATTTATTGGTCCACCAACAACTAGCGGCGTTCAGCTCAATGAAAGTGACTTGTGAAATATTAAATCTGCAGGATGTAGAGTTGTTTAATCTGTTTAATGGGTTTGTTCGTGGTTTAGTTTAAATATTAGCTGCGGATGTATATTATTTTTTTATGGTTCAGTTAAGTTTTCAAACAAGCTGCGAGATTATGATTATGATTAAGAGAATTATAATTTTTATCAGAAGAAGACAGATTATATTGTTTATTAGAATTTATATTTATGATATAGGTATATTATAGAGATGTTAACACGAATGAAGTAAAGAAGGTGTATTTGAGCTGTTTCTTAAATAGAAATAATGACTAATTTTTGTTTGTCTGTTCATCGGATAGCTTATAAACAAATATTAAACAGGATTTGCCTATTGGTTTCTTTAATTGAAAAATAAATAGGTATGTATACGTACGTACCTATCGTACTTACCTACGTATCTATCTAATATTTTTCTATTATCTTACTCAAGGACTAAATATTATTTTTTACCCAGGCATCATCCCTGTACCTACCTTAGCAGCAACTATTAATAAACAAGGTTTAACGTCAGAGTAAATTTACGTTAAAATTGCAGTTTAAATATAAGTCCAAATTCATATTATATACAGAGAATAAGCAAACCTACTACCTTCTAGGAACATTTGCTAATTATCTGTTTAATAATATGAATTTTGACTAATTCTAAGTGCAGTCTCAGCGCAAATACACTCCAACGCTAAATATTGTTTATTAATAACACTGTAGATGTACCAAGATGTCGCCCGCGTATACACTAAGTGCCCCTCGGACATTTTTTTTGGGTTAAGTCACTAATAAGTTTATTTATTTTTTAAAACTTATACCTGCTCGATTTACTTCAAAGTTTATATTTTCATTTCATAGACTTTTTTAATTTGATTTTTTTTCATAATAAAATAAGATGGTTGCATCACGATGTTTGAATAGATATCGTCTATTTGTTTATGCTAAGAGAGGTACTAACAATTTCTTAGATTTCCTGTCATTGTCAGCCTCAAGTATTCATGCCATGCCTCTTGCTATTCCCAGGAACATTCCATCAATTATTACTATTCATAACTGAATGACGTGACATCATCGCCTACGGATGGTGTGAAATATATTTTTTAAACAGTTTTCTGTCTATATGTGTGTGTAGTCGGATATTTGCGTCCGCGGCTAGTTCAAAGATAAGCGGCTACTTTGATGTTGGCGAATGGCCTAGGTTGTCGCGACACCAGCTGCAAGTTTCTAAATTAAATTTGTATTATGATATAATCGTTCTGTAGGAACATAAAAAGGATGATCTGTAAATTCGATTACTGATACTAATACCTTGGGAATGGGTGAATAACCCAGTGAAAACAAAAAATCCTATAAAGGGGAGAAACATCGACATAACATTGGAAAAAGCATGAATACCTAAATTTTAATCTCCATTTAAAACCTACAAATGTAAGTAACGGACAATAAGGATAATCGTAGCAAGAGCTTTCCGAGCAGTGTTTCTCAAAGTTGACTCGGTGGCGTAATGGACATCGCGATCGTTATTGTTAAGCAACCTTCGCAAGGGTCGGTCACGGGATGGGTGACCATAAAATTATTATCACGAGCTGCTCGACTCCGTGCCTTGGAAGGCACGTTAAGCCGTTGGCCCCGGCTGTATTTGCAGTTGGATCAGTGCGGAGGATTATGGCTTATCCTT